ATTCCAAAGCTATTCCACCTTTCGACTATAATGGTATAATACCCGCGCAAAATAAGGCTTGTCTCGGGTCTTGCTTTGTACCCCATCTGTGAATAGAGGTAACGGTGACTTTATTCAAAAATGTAATCACACTCTGCTCAAAGACTACATACCAAATAGCCTTTATAATGAAGACAAGCGAAACAGACAATCAAGTTTTTGTTTGATAGTAGCTGGCCCGGTCCGCGTTGCCGGCCCGTAAAAAATAAAAAAGAAAAATTATAATAGAGAATCAACTACAGTCGGTTTTATATATTTTAAATAGTCTGATCTTATTTTTCAGCCATAGGCTATAATTGAGTGTTAAAAAACTATATGATATAGATCTTCTATAAAAGCCCCATGTGAAAACTCAGCTCAATTTTTGGTAAAGAGCTTAGCAACATTTTCCGTTCAAATTAACTGTAATTTGGAATTTGTATTTCCAATATTTTTAATAACGTGCTGCGTGGTATTTAGTTTTGTCCACCTCATAATTGAGGGCAGACAAGATAAATTTTATAATTTTTTTGTCATTTAAATTGAGCGTTGGAGACCCCATAAAGTCCATATTTTTCATCGTAGTATAAATCAATGGCGATTCATTTCATTCAAAGTCATGTTTCTGACACAATTTGACATTTCGAAGTTCATGTCATCCCACATCTACGTTCCCAACCAATGTTCACTTAGGAGTTTCAAATTCAATAGATTACCAAATTTTCTTCTCTGGCCACACATTGGTTGGGAAAGTGGACTTGGGGGTACACTAATGTGGGACTATACTCAAATAAATGCCTATGTGGGCAATTATCTGTTCTTTACTAAATGTCCAATTCGCTCTACGATTATATTCGGTACTTCACTGATTGCAGTGTCAATGGATTGCATTTTGAGTTCTCATTGGACGGATTATTTTCATATGAAAGAAATAGGTCCACGTCGGTCCACGTAGGTCACTCATTTCATTTTTAATATTATTCATTCAGAATTCAAAACTATAAAAAATGTTCAATTCAATGTGGCATGTTAAATCAAAAATATCACATCAAAAATATTTTTTTCATTCTCATTTTTAATGGTATATTTTACCGCAATTTTTTTGCTTTTCAAAATTGTATGAATTGTCAAAATCCGTTAAGCCGTTCTTTAGTTATAAGCGCAGTACCTAACATAAATTTATTCTTTATTTTGTTTACAAAATATCGATTAAATTCAATATGATAAGGCAAATAAAAAAATATTACATTATATAAAATTGCCAAAAAATGTAAAAAAGAAAATAATCTTCACCTTGTTCGACGATTTTTTACAGCAAAAGTTAAAAGATCCTTACTATGATTGTCAATAGAATGTATTATTATTTTAAAATTCGACTCCATTGAAAATTTGTTTTCTATTTTTTTTCCGAGTTTTTAGCGATTTTGAAAAGGTAATTATTTTTCAACTTTGGTGTGACCGCGTTAAATTATTGCGGTAACTCGCCTTCAATTTCAGTTCTCAAGAAATCGAGTCAATTAAAGAAATTGGTATTAATATTCGAATACAAAAATAAAATATAAAAAAACACTAAAATGTACATTCGAAAAAAGTAAGTGAAAATGGAAAAAAATCATGCAAAAAACATTACGATTGTACATTTCAAAAGTCAAAATGAAAATGTTAATATATCACATTTTTACGCGATTTTTTTCGAATTTAATCCTTTTCGGCCAAGAGACAATTCCGAATTTGTACGAATCGTTAAAATAAGTTCAGCTGCTCTTAAGTTACAAGCGTAGTAACTAACACAACTTTCTTTTGTATATATAGATTATTTACTTTTTTCGTACGTACGAAAACCAAATGGTAGAAAAATAAGTTTGGCAAACAGGCTAAAAAAGGTTTCTGGATATGTCAATCATTTCTCGACTTCATTGACGTAACGATACGCTTGGACTCGTACAGATACACAGACAGTTCCAAGTCATTAAACGCCAATATCAACTTAATGACAATTTCAGCGCTAAGAAAACTGTGCAATAACGTAACATAATCAGTGACTATATCTGCCAATAGTCAGGCGGCCCTAAACCTTTGGTTGAGTGATAGGAACTATAACGTTCTTCTCAGACATAGGCAAACCACCCTGCTAAGTACACTGTCCTCAATAAACCCGTTCTTCTCTTTCTTGCTTCTTTATATGTCCTATCAGAACTTTCTTTCTTGGATGATCCAATGTACCATGTGCTAGGTCTGGAGTTAGGTTTTGCTCGATAATTAGAGATGTGCAGAGTGTCACCGCACTCTGCACCTCCGCATGCTGGACATGTGGTCCGCGCACTGTTGTAAGTCGGGCACAATACGGATTGAGGCGTCAGCACCATCCAGATCTAAGTTGCGACGAAACTGCTCTGGTTTTTCAAGGCAACACTCGCTTTTCAGCTGGGGTGGGATGCGGATGATCTCCGAGAGTGTCATTCACTCCATAACTACCGTGACCACGACGTATGTGGTATCATCCTGTTGCGAGAGGCGTGGTAGTAGCTGTGCTATGCCCGGAAGATTTAATACACCTAAGACCTTGGGGTAATTTATGGTCGGTATTAATGCTCCATCGACCTGTACATTCAGTGATAACTTTATTTCTGATGTTTATGTTGAAAATTCCGACGGTTCTTTAATGGTTGTTTCGGAATTAAGATCAGCTAAATAATTATTCGATCGCAGACTTTAACAAAATTGATTCGGACGCCAGGAGCGAATCAACTGCGTACATTATTATCTCAAAGCCGCTTGGAAAGGAAGACGTTAAATGGTTTCAGTTATATTACCCACCCTGTTTTACTTTACAGCTCTCCAATTCTACTTTCAGAATTCTACGTCCATACATATAGTTAACAAAACCCTGTGTAAACTGTGTAATTTCTGGAGCCTATGTTGATGATCAGCTACAGGGAAACTCTTTCTTTTATGCTGAGGAAGTGTCAAGTCTTAAGCGTCTTCGCACTGACAACAATAGCGATATCGGTCTGTGTGAATTGCTTTTTGCTCTATAAACACTCGATTAAAATAATTCGCGCACCTCTCCGGGTCTGTCACTTTTATGACATTATCTATCCTTTTCTCCAGTATTCGAGAGCGACTTAACCCTTACACGCAATTTACTCCATCCGATCCTGATGTTTTAATACTCCAGAAGCTCTAGCCAATATCGCCGCGTATGCTCACCACCTAACCTAATTATCTCATAGCCAGTTCCTGTAATAGAAATGACAGGTGCAGGTTAGATTGCGGTTTTGGATCTCTCACAGCACGGAAATCGCTTCGGGTATTGTACACGCAGATGACTCTCCTCTATGCTCGCGTCATGAATATCCAGTTTGTGCTTTAGCCAATATATCTCAATACTTTAATTTAGTCAAGGAGTTTTATGAAAAATGGGGTATCAAAATAAACAGTGCAAAATGGGAGGCTAATTGCATTAGAAATGCTTCGATAAACTGTAAACGTTCTGTTGTCTTTGAAAGTAAATCTATAAAGTTAATTTAAATCTAATTGAAATCTCATTTAAAAAAAAAACTGGGGTATTTAGGATTAGATTTTAACAAAGTTTTCAAATTTAATGCATGTGCTAGAAAGGCGCTAAATAGGGGTCAGGGAATTTTTATATCATTCTTAAAAATTCTAAATAACAATTTTTTGCCGGTGAGTACAAAACTAATGTTGTACATAACTTGTGTAAGGTCTGTTACGTTATATGGATTTCATGTTTGGAAATCATCATCAGCTGTTGTAAAAGACCTAGAATTTTCGAATGAAGAATTTTGAGACTACGCCGGAAAAAATTCAAATGATTTTATTTATGAAAATTCAAAGTTGAAGCGGTTGTCAATCTATTTGTGTAAGATTTCAGAAAATGTAAATCTAAAATTAAGTATTCATGAAAATGGTTATATGATTGAAGCACTTAACAGTTAAGCAAATGTCAGTTGGTTCAACTGTCAATATCTCACTATGTATGTTCATGAGCCTAACTCAGATATTTCAACCTCTTTGGAGAAGACCTAGTCGGTACTCACCGTGGGTAGCTTTGTATTTACCCCCTTGTTTGTATTTCATTATTATGTTTATTACTCTTTTTAATATTATTATTATTCTTCTCTTTAAATCCGCAAACTCTAGGTTAATTACCCCACTTTATTGCATTAGAGCAAGGGCGTATATTATGTGAAACGTTATGTTGCGTTACTCAGTTTCATTTTGCATGTCAAAGCAATGTGCTGCAATTTATTTTTTTTATTATTATAATACGTTGTCAGAACTTGTGACATATTATGTATCTAATTCATTAATATACGTCGTAGTCAATAAAAAAAAGGTTCAATGTATATAAACTTAATCTTAACTTGAGGTTTTGAAAATTAACGGTGTGGATGGAAAGAACAATGAATCACTGAGCTCGATATTGGCACAACAGGAAACTGTGTACTCCCTATCGTTGTACTCCTGCATCCGGTTAGCCGAAAAATGTTGAGAAATGTACCCACTTTTTAATTTAATTACATTAACAATTTATTGCTGAGTGTACGGTCCCTGGTCGAAGAATTGGACGCTGTAGACTGATTAGTATTACAGAAATTAGAGTCCAATTCTGGAACGTAAATTTTTGTGGCTTGCTGAGTGCCAATTATAACTTTGTTGGGATATGTCATATTCTGTTGGTCATTTTAAAGTTTAAAATGCTAACGTCAATTTAGCAAATGCACCGAAGATTTTCAGCTTTGTCATTAATAAGCTACATAAACAAGTAGCAACACAATAACAAAAAATGTAGATAATGCTTTTTTAAAGTTCTCAGCTAACACAAAATAGCAGTGAACGGCTGAATCTAAATTGAAATAGCTCAGCACAAAAAAGCAGCTACTGTCTAGCTCGACAAAAATAAACATTCATTCTTAACTAGTACATAAAAAGGAAAGGGTAGAATGGGTAATACTTACTGTTCAGAACTTTGAATCATTAAAAATCCAGTATTAGATCCAACATCATTTTCTTTAGAAATATTCAACAAATCGTAGTCACATTCATCTTCAAACCAATTTGGCGATTCCAACAAAAGGGAAATATTAAACTCTTGGACCTCTCGAGGATTTGCAACAGCGATCGTACTAGATGAACTGCTATTTAAGCAAAATGCCAGAATTGATTCATGATCCTTGTGTATTATACGAATAGGTTCGTTTATATCTTTACCAGAAACACTTCCTATGAATAAAAGTAATCGTTATTTATAACAATAAATAGCTGATTAATTTTTACCATTATCAACTAAATCGTGTGTTTCAAAAGGATTCCTGAAATTATTGTCATTTTTCTTTCCGAATATGGCCTTAATAAATACGTCTTGAGCTTCATCTTGACGCACAAGGAAGTTCCACAATCTACGAACTGGTCCAGCGGCGAAGCTGGCGGAAAATGGGGTGTTGTCTTTACTCAACAGTGTTCTATATCTGTGTATCGAAAGTCCAGGAACACCACTGTTTGAAAAACAACCTGAACATAAAAACATTTATAAATCAGATATAAAACTACATTTAAATAATGTGAAAAATTTGTTGTTTTGGAATATGTTTCTTACCAGGAATGTAGTCCTCGCCGGGCGGACCTTTGGAGAGAAGAATTTCAAGAGCAATTTCCAGCCATCTGTTAAATGTCCTTAGAACTTCATGAGACAGTGGGCTCAATACTGGTAAATCTAAAAGACCACGTAAAATACGTAGAACAGCAATATTGAATATAACATTGGTTACCTTGGAGTTCAATTCCCGAAATATTGACAAAATCTTGTATTTTTTTAATAAATACTTTCATCAACGCAACTCTTAAGATGCACCACGAGTACGAAAACGGATCAACATGTTCCTTGTTTTCTTTATCCTTGTTTATACCAACAGTTGAAGTTCCGATAGCACCATCGTCTTCTTCGCCTTCATTTTCGGAATCATATGGATCGTCGGTATCATAATCATCAAAATCTATAAAAATAAAAAAAAACTATGATAATAAAGAGAATATATATACATCTTCTCTATATATAAATCAATTGTTGTTCGTTGGTACTTGAATCAGTTGAGGACGGCTGGACTCATTTGCATAACTTTTTGTACAAACGTTAGTCATACCCCGAGTTAGGTTCTTAAAGAAAAAAATATTGACCACGCCTACATTTACGCCTACTATTTTGTTTTATTTTTATTTAAAACCACAAAATATTCGTTTATAAAATTATTAAATATAATATAATATAATATAAAAAAATGGCGTAAAAATGTGATATTTTAACATTTTCATTTTGACTTTTGAAATGTACAATAGTAATGTTTTATTTTGCATGATTTTTTTCATTTTCACTTACTTTTTTCTAATGTACATTTGTAGTGTTTTTAATTATTTAATAGACTTGATTTTTTGAGAACTGAAATTTATGTCGGGTTACGTGGAAGTGTAGTACCGAATTATGTGGTGGCGAAACGGAATAGATGATATCGAAATAATTTTACACGGTCACACCAAAGTTAAAAGATAATTACTTTTTCAAAATCGCTAAAAAATCACAAAAAAGAGATCTCATTGCAAAAATTCTCAAATTGGGAAAAAAATCGAAAAAAATTTCAATGGAATCGAATTTTAAAATAATGGTACATTCTATTGACAAACTTCAACAATCAGCGAACAAGTTGAAGATTTTTTCAATTTGTTATTCTTCTTTTGTCAATTACCAAACCAATTACCAAATACCAAAAATCAGAAGGACGGGCTTCAAACATACCAAACCAATGTCAACATACCTAAATGCCGTTTATGTTCAAATGAATTCATTTAATAAGAAAATGTCATCGGTTCCTTCCAATAGATTAAGCAGAGATTGGTTGAAATAAAGGCCACTAATCTCTGTCTAAATTTTTTGAAAAGTTCCTTCTTCAAATGCCAAAAACGACAAAACACTCTCCTACATAAAGATATGGAACAACAAAACCCGCCCATGAACACTTCTCTTTCAGCTTTCAATATACCACTACAAACGCCTACGACATTACGAAATCGGTGAATAATGTAGCTAAAATCATAAAAATACCGAATATCGGGAGGTACCGTTATATGGGGGCTATACGAAGACGTGTATCTGCACAGACAATATTTTGTCATAGGCTATAGTATCCATTACGAACATCAAATACCAAATTTAAAAGAATTTCGGTTAATTATATCGCTAAAATCATCAATATACCGAATATCGGGAAGTACCGTTATATGGGGGCTACACCAAAACGTCGACTTAAATGGCCCATTTTAAATAACAAAAGTTCTGCAGACATAATATACATGAGTACATGAGAAAAATTTTATCAATCTACTTTAATTCGTTCGGAAGTTGGAGTGATTTCCACAGACGGAAGGACGGACAGACGGACGGACATCGCTAAATCGGCATAGAATTTTATGCTGATCAGGAACATATATATACTTTGTGGGGTCAAAAATGTATATTTCGAGGTGTTACAAACGGAATGACAAACTTAATGTACCCTCCATACTATGGTGGAGGGTATAAAAAATTAATTCCATTCTTACAGTAATGGGTGTAAAAGAGTAATTTTTTTTGGCTATTCTGAAATCACTCTGCCCCTAATTATGAGGTGGACAAAACTTAGTACCACGCAGCACGACATTCTAAACGTTGGAAATACAAATTCCAAATTACAGCTAATTTAAATGGAAAATGTTGCTAAGCTCTTCACAATACCAAAAACTGAGCTGGGTTTTCATCTGAGGTTATTATAGATGTTCTATATCATATAGCTTTTTAACAATCAAATTAAAGCCTATGGATGAAAAATAAGATCAGGCTATTCAAAATATTTATAACCGACGATAGATCAACATCTATTATAATTTGTGCCATGAATATTTATTTCTATTTGGAAAATACTATGTAGTCACTACTTATAATAACAAGTAAAAAAGCTGTAAGTTCGGCCGGGTCGAACTTTGAATACCCTCCACCATTTGGAGCGAATTTGGCAATTCTTAAAAAACAATAAAATCCGTTAAAAATTTTGTTAAAACCTTATAAATACCGAATACGGCATAGGTAACTTTTGTCATAGGTCATCACAATATTCAAATGCGAAACTTAGAAAAAAAGTCGGTGAATACTGTCGCTAAAGTCATCAAAATACCGAATATCGGGAGGTACCCTTATATGGGGGCTATACGAAGACGTGGGCCTGCACAGACAATTTTCTGTCATAGGCTGTAGTATCCACTACGAACATCAAATACCAAATGTGAAAGAATTCCTGTGAATAGTGTCTCTAAAATCAACAAAGTATTGAACATGGAAAGGTACCGTTATATGGGGGCTATACGAAGACGTGGACCTGCACAGACAATTTTCTGTCATAGGCTGTAGTATCCATTACGAACTTCAAATACCAAATTTGAAGGAATTCCATTGAATAATGTCGCTAAAATCAACAAAAAAAGTCGGTGAAAAATGTTGCTAAAATCAACAAAGTACCGAATATCGGGAGGTACAGTTGTATGGGGGCTATACGAAGACGTGAACCTGAACAGACACTTTTCTGTCATAGGCTGAAGTATCCACTACGAGCATGAAATACCACATTTAAAAGAATTCCGGTGAATAATGTCGCTAAAATCAACAAAGTACCGAACATCGAGAGGTACCGTTACATGGGGGCTATACCAAAACGTGGACCTACATGGCCCATTTTCAATACCAAAAGTCCTGCAAACATAATATACATTTGAGTAAAATTTTATCAATCTACTTCAATTCTTTTGGAAGCTAGAGTGATTTCCACAGACGGACGGACATCGCTAAATAGAATTTTATGCTGATCAAGAATATATATACTTTGTGGGGTCTAAAATGTGTATTTCGAGGTGTTACAAACGACAAACTTAATGTACCCTCCGAACTATGGTGGAGGGTATAAAAATTGTGTTACTTACATAAATCAGATCTATGATTTATTATGTTTTAAAAAATATGCAAAAAAGACTAAAAGTATAGGCCGGCAACGCGAACCGGGCCAGATAGTAAATAATAAATAAAAGTACTCATTATACCCTACAACACTATGTGTTGGGGGTATTATAAGTTTGATTTGGCCAAAAATTATTTAACACCTCGAAATATTGGTTTCCCACATAGTAAAGTATATATGGATCTTCCTATCTCGCGGAGCTGAGTACATCTAGCTATGTATGTCCGTCAGTCTGTCTGTCCATGTTAATTTGTAATTACTCTACAGGTCGCAATTACGGTCACGAAATTTATAATGGAGGTGGGGCTAGGGCCACCTACTTCTTCTAGAGATGATCGCATAATATTTATGGGTTGAAATGGACCAAAAACTGAAAAATTTTTTCAATATACTTATAATATTTAAGTATGCTTTTTGTAATATTTTTTCACCTTACAACACAGGTTAGGGTTATTATATACAGATTGCAATTATCGTCCGATCCTCACGAAAATTTTCACAAGGGTAGGGTTAGGCTCAGAGGGGCTAACCTATTGTTTTCAAAGATGTCAGCAATATATTTTGGGGTTGAAATGGGCCAACAACAAAAAATGTTCCTAACTTTGCAACCTTTAAAAAGGTCACAAAAGGGTACTAAATCTCGCATGATGTTAAAGTTTAGGACAGCGGGTAGGATGGAAAACTACCATTTTACCGAAACGCTGAAAATACACAAAAGGCTAACTTCTGGCTTTTTATGCTGATTTTGTTGACGAATATATCCAAATATCGTACAACAGCATATCATATAGACGAGTCTAAATTTAGAGAAAAAGAGGGACCTCTTACTTTTGGAGATAACCGCAAAATAGTTAGGGGTTCAAATGACCCTAATACGGAAAAAATCCTTATCACACAATTGATGCCAATCGACACGCCTGAGAAGAGAGAGAGATTTAACGAGAAGAGATTTAAGGATAGGGAAGATTTCTAGCATTTTGGATGACCATTGGATTATATTTAGCTGTAAAATGGACCACAACAACTAACGGCGCGACGGAGGGCGTAAATATAGGGCAAATGTCCTTGGTCAAAATGCTAAGGGTAATATCTGGGCAGTGTTTCGTGACATAACTTCAAAAACGAAATCTTCCAAAATGGATTAGGACATAAGGGAGTTTCTAACAAATTGTAGTGCTGTAGGGTATCACATGGTCGGCCCAGCACGACTATAGCCTTTGCTTACTTGTTTTTAAACATGATTAAAAACTCCCTTTAAAGTCAAAGTAGCAATTCAAAATGTTCCACAAAATTATTTGTCATACAATTCTACTATTGAAAGACAAGAACATTCTTCATCAAATATTACTATAAGCCACAAAACAACAGAAATTGTATATTAAAAAAAATATTTGTATCAATGTTCCCAAAACCCCTGAAAATATTTCCATTTTTTGATCAATTTTCCCCGGATTTTTTTCTTTTACACGCCTGAAAAGAAAAGGAGACATTCTAGACAAAATTTCACAATAAATCTCAGAATAAACCGTACGTCTTAGTACAATAGTTTTTATGAAAAAATACATTCAAAATTTACTAAAAATGAAAATTATGTGTTTGTTTTTCTTACTGTTAATTTTACACGTATCCAAACTGGGTGAAATTTCCCTCTATTTTTGTTTTTACTAGTTAGTGGACTGGAGTCTAACTATGGCAAATAACAACAATTGGTCTTGTATATTTAACATTTTTCACAAAACATGAATGGAATATCGGGTACGGGTAGTACAAAACAATACCACTAATATAAAAATATGCATTTCTGTTGTCTCCAAATTATTATATCTAAATTATTTTTTTTATTCAAAATAATACACACAAATATACAAACACCTAAAGCAAAAATGTATTTAGCTTTGTTCTATCTTCTGTAATTGTGTAATAGTTACAACTTTGAAGTGTCAACTAGCATTTCTCCAACG